TCAAGCACCACCCTCCCTTTAAAGCATCCAGTCTGCTATTCTAACTCAATCAGCATGACAGAGTGATCTCCAGCCTTGTCTTCATCAACATTAACCTATGTTAATGAGAGAATCACTGAAATGATGTTGGCAGGTCCTTTTGTGGCAGGGCTGAAATGCAGTGGAAATGGGTTTTTTGGGATAAAGTTTTAAGAGAGATTTTGCAATTAATTGCAATTCATCTGACCACTCTTCATAACATTCTGGTGTATATGCAAATTGCCATCATGAAAACTGAGGCAACAGACTTTGTGAAAATTAATATTTATGTCATTCTCAGAACTTTTGGCCACAGCTATAGGTTTGATAGGGAGGTATAAATGGCTTAATAATTTATATCCACAAATTTGGTTTATAGAACAATTCAAGAAAAGTTATCCAGATTACTATACAATATATATTATTTGAAAATCACAAGCAAATATGAAAAAGTTTTAATAGCCTATCTGGGTGCAACGTGGGTAAGTAATTAGATGTATTATAAAAAAAAAAAAAACAGGTTTATATTTACATATTTTTTTCCAGAGCACAAAGTCCATGAAATACGGCAGAATCAAGCGAAACTAATTCCGTTCCTTCTCAATCCATATGAACAATTAGGCCCAGTCCGTTCAAAAAAGTGATAAGAAATGCAAGTTTTATTGGTCCAGTCCAAGGTTCAAGCAAATAACAAAAGATGCTGATGCCACTACCGGACCTTGGCAGCGACAGCATGCACAATGTAAATGAAGTAGTTAGCAATCAGGTGTACGTACACCTGTGGAGTGTCCTGCTAGCGAGTTAGCACAATAGGAATTCTGTACTACAAACTTAGCATACTGCTATGTTCATTGTGCGCATATATATATATATATATATATATATATATATATATATATATATATATATATAAAATGAAAAATGATCTTCCTCACCCTCCGCGGGTGGTCTCGTCCTTTTCAAGCTCGGGTTCTCTACCAGAGGACTGGGAGCTTGAGGGTTCTGCGCAGTATTTTAGCTGTTCCTAGTACTGCACTTTTCTGGAGTGAGACGTCTGATGTTTTTCCTGGGATCTGCTTTAGCCACTCCTCCAGTTTGGGGGTTACTGCCCCGAGTGCCCCAATGGCCACGGGCACCACCAATGCCTTCACTCTCCAGGTTCTCTCAAGTTCTTCTTTGAGGCCCTGGTATTTCTCTAGTTCCTCGTGTTCCTTTTTCCTGATGCTGCCATCACTCGGTATTGCTGCATCAATCACGACGGCTTTGCTCTGTTGTTTATCCTCCATCACCATGTCCAGTTGGTTCACCATCACCATTTTGTCGGCCTGGATCTGGAAGTCCCACAGGATCTTGGCTCGCTCGTTCTCTACCACCTTAGGTGGCGTTTCCCACTTTGACCTTGGGGCTTCCAGTCCATACTCTGCGCAGATGTTCCTGTACACTATGCCAGCCACTTGGTTGTGGCGTTCCATGTATGCTTTCCCTGCCAACATCTTACACCCTGCAATTATGTGGTGGATTGTTTCAGGAGCCTCTTTGCATAGCCTACACCTTGGGTCTTGTCTGGTGTGGTAGATCTTGGCCTCTGTTGCTCTGGTGTTCAGGGCCTGCTCCTGTGCAGCCATGATGAGTGCCTCTGTGCTATCCTTCAGACCAGCCCGTTCTAGCCATTGGTAGGATTTCTTGATATCAGCCACTTCAGTTATCTGTCGATGGTACATTCCATGTAGGGGTTTGTCCACCCAGGATGGTATATCCAGTGCCTCCTCCTCTGTTCGCCATTGTCTGAGACCTTCACTAAGCACGTCATCTCTTGGGGCCTTATCCCTGATGTACTTATGGATCTTGGTTCTTTCATCCTGGACAGTGGCTGTCACGCTCACTAGTCCCCGGCCTCCTTCCTTACGGCTAGTGTACAGTCTCAGGGTACTGGATTTGGGATGGAACCCTCCATGCATGGTTAGGAGCTTCCGTGTCTTAACATCTGTGGTCTGTATTTCTTCCTTGGGCCAGCTTATTACTCCTGCAGGATATCTGATTACTGGCAGGGCGTAGCTGTTTATTGCCTGAATCTTGTTCTTGACATTGAGCCGACTTCTTAGGACTTGCCTGTCATTGCCAAGATCGGGTATTTGCTTGGAATACTTGGAATATTTGCTTGGAATTTGCTTGGTATTTGGAACTGGAACAATAGAACTTGCATTTCTTATCTGTTTTTGGAACGAACTGGGCCTAGTTGTTCATATGGACTGAGATTGAAGATAATTAGTTTCACTTGTTTCTGAGGTGTTTCATGGACAGTGTGCTTTGGAAAAAGTTATGTATATATGAACGAGTTTTCTTTTATAAATTCATCTAATTAGTTACCCACGGAGCCCAGATAGGCTATTATAACGGTTTCATATTTGCTTGCGATTTTTGAATGATATGTTGTATAGTAATCTGGATACGTTTCCTTTCTTTTCTTATTCATTCTACTTGTCCTTCTGACAACTTAGTAAACATCTCATATAAGTGCCGGCATCAAGGGGGGGGGGCATTGCCCCCCCTAGCGAGTCGCCACGCCCCCCCCTACACACGCTCCAGCACCCACCACCACAGGCTCCAAAATATTAATTTTTATATCTAATTATTTTTCAGATATTAAACATGTAAACATTCACGAAATTAATAAAGGGCGGTTTCAAATATTTTTGTCATATTATAAATTCACCTGAAATAATGTAGGCTAGTTGGTGCTGATTGGTTGTTGCTTTGGTGCGGCATTTGACTTTCGCGCGGAAAATATGATAAAATACAATTTTCAGCCGCCAGCGGTCACATTAGGGTAGCGATCCATTCAACTGAGCAGTCTCTTTTCATAAGGGTGTGTAATTCAAGAGAACGATTCATTCAACGGTAAGCTGTTCCTGCGTTCAATCTGAACAAAATATTGCGCTGCGTTTGCGTTTTATGCATCACAAGGGATGCATATGAAAGGTGCTTGTTTACTTTTCATTAGTCCTGTGTTCTTAGGGTTTGCATGACAGTGTAGGGGGCTGTTATGATGACTGACCGCTTGTCTGGGTCTGTTTTTGTTGTTGATGGCAGCTAACGTTAACATCGCTGGGAATCCTGTGACCAACGGAAGTCACGAAAAATTGTCAACTTCTAGTGTCGCTCATATGAATATACACTCACCTAAAGGATTATTAGGAACACCATACTAATACGGTGTTTGACCCCCTTTCGCCTTTAGAACTGCCTTAATTCTACGTGG